AATCCTAGCAGTTTAAGAGTCTGAGATCTGAAGATCACAGTTCAAAGCCAGCCCAGGCAAATAAATCCAAGGAGCTCTTAAATCCCATTAGCCAGCAAAAAGCTGAAAGATCTGTGGCTCAAGTGGTAGAGTGCCAGCCTTGAGCAAAAATGCTAAGGAACAGTACCCAGGCCTTGAGTTCAACCCCAGTGCTGGCACTAAAACAAACAAAATACAAACATTCTGATTAGTTATTGAGCTAAAACTTCAGTTGTGAGCACATTCAGGTTTCTGTTTCTGTTATGTATTTACATTTATATCCTTTGCTCTCTCCTTTTCTTTCTTCTACCCTCTTTGTCTTCTTTCTTTCCCTCCTTTCCTTTTCCTTCCATCCTTCCCCACATCCCTTCCTTATATATAGCCAATATTTAACCATGAGGGCTCTGCCCTGATGATCTTACCTAATTTTAATTACTTCCCAAAGACCACCACCAATAAACATCATAGTTTCTCCTCTCTTAATATGTCACAATGGGGACTAAATGTTAATACCTGAAGCCTTGGGGACATACTCAAACCATACCAACACCATAGCAACAAGAAATAACTAATACATGCTCCAAAATGGGTAAACATTGAAAAGAATTATGCTAAGTGAAAACCAGTTCCAAAAGAACAAGCAAAAATGTCATGCTTGTGTAATCCCAGCTATTGCAAAAGAAGATGGGATGATCACCTGGGTCCATTAATTCAAGACTACCCTGGCCAATATTAATTTTGAGACATCCATCTTAGAAACATTAGAAACTCTAAAAAGTCTACGTATTTTGTTTTATGAAATACCTACAGTTGGTTTCCATATTTTAGGCAGAAAAACTGTCTTAATAGTTGCCTAGAGGTGTGGAGAGTGACTACCAATTGAGTAGGGGTTTATCTTGGGATAATATAAACTTTCTAAGCTTAGATTGTGGTAATGGTTATTTAACTCTGTGTTTATTAAAGCTGGTGAGTTGCATATTGGGATAATTCAAATCATTTACTTCTCAATAAAGATATTTAGAAATAGGGGCTGGGAAGGTGGCTCAGTGGTAGAGCGCTTGCCTTGCATGAATGAGGCCCTGAGTTCGATTCCTCAGCACCACATAAGCAAAAAGAAAAAAGCTGGAAGTGGTGCTGTGGCTCAGGTGGTAGAGCACTAGCCTTGAGCTGAAGAGCTGAGGGACAGTGCCCAAGCCCAGAGTTCAGGCCCCACGACCGGACCAAAAAAAAAAAAAAGATATTTAGAAATAGGTTTTCTGGAAAGAGAACATAGAACCATGGGTCCTTAACATTTTTTATACTGTACTTTTTTGTTTTTTCTTTTTTGGTTCTGGGGATTGAACCCAAGACGTTGCACTTGCTAGGCAAGACCTTTGCCACTGAACTACATCCCAGTCCTTGGTCCTTACTTTTGCCTGTTATAGTGTCTTAAAGCATAGGAGGAAACAAGGGTGGATCCGGGAACAGTCTATACTTAGTTTGAATGTAGTAATCTCTGTGCTGGTTAGTGAGATACAAAACTGATTATACATTTGATAATATGTAAACCCCTCAGAGACCACTTTGAAGATGCAAAAACATGGTACATGTCTGTTTTGGTAAAAAAGAAAAAAAAAGAGAGAGCTAGAGAAAATAAGTCAGAAATACCTATAAAGTTACTATGGAGAAGTAGAAGTAATATGACCAAAAAAGAAAAAAGAATAAAAAGAAAAAAAAACTTTGTAATTGGAGCCAAGTTCCTAGGACACAAAACCCTTAATTAGGGGGTCGTACTTCAAAGCCAGCCAAGGTAGGAAAGTACATGAGACTCCAGTTGACTTTCCCAAAAAAGCAGAAAGTGGAGCGTAGCTCAAGTGGTAGAGTGTTAGCCTTGAATACAAAAGTTCAGTGACAGCACCCAGACCATGAGCTCAAGCCTCAGGACTATTATGCATATGCAGAATCATCAAAAAAAAAACCTACCCCAGGACTATCATGCATATGCAGAATCATCAAAAAAATCTAAGTAATTAATCTTCACTAAATCAGTGAATACACGTATGAGAATATTTTCCTAGGGGGAAGGACTAGACTTCCCAGAGATACATAGATCCAGTGGGTAAAATCCACTTAATCTCTCATGTTTATAATTTTTTTTGATTGCCGCTAGTGACAGTTTTGTTTCCTTATCTGCTTCTAGCAGTTAATTAAGCTCCTCAAGGAGCATATACTTTTATATTTTAGTAAGATAACCTAGAATTTACATACATAAACACACATACACACAGGAGTGGAAACGTGGCTTGGTGGTAGAGCAAATGCCTAGCATGTGGGGATTTCTATTGCCAGCACCACAAGAAGAAAACAACATATACACAACAGATTGACAAGGATGCGTGTTCTAACAAGTGATACAGGAGTTCAAAAGTAGCATTTTCTGGCTGTGCTCATGCTGTGTGTTAAGAGAAATACATTCTAATCGAGAGGAACAGCACAAAAAGATATGGGGTGTTCAGTTTGGCTGGTGTTTCTGATGTGAGTAATGGGAGGTAAAGTTAGGGTCAGATTAACCTCCCAGCTCTGCTGCCTACTAGCCATCTTTCTGATAATCTTTTCAAAATAATTGAGATAATAATACCAAATTACCTCTGGTTATTGGGAGAAGTAATAAAATAGTACATGATAAACACTAATCATGTATCTGAACTTTTATATTGTGGTGAACAACAAAGCTTTGAATAAGGAGTAGTACAGTCTCCAGTTGTGCTTTAGGAAGATTAATTCTGCAGTAGATGATCTAGAGAGAGCAGAGATCAGAGGGAAGCCGTCATAATAGCTTGTATTAGAGTGTTGATAGTATATAAATCACTGTATAAAACTATAAAAATTACAGTTTGGTGAGGCTAACACAACTAAGAAACACAAAAGAAGAAACAAGGCTGAAAGTACAAACAAAAAGTCACTTTTGGTCACAGTGGTACCTCCAGGAAGAAATGTGTGACAGGCACTTGCAGATTTAGTACTTGAGATCAGAGTTTGTGAGAATGTTTTGCTCAGAGATGATAGCTAAGAGATTGTATGGGATTACCGAAAAGAAGAAATGTAGTTCAGAAAAGCAGACAGTTAAGGATAGAACCCTTGAGAGTTGGGAAAATGAAGATAAGGCAAATCATATTACTTTAATTGCCTCTCATAAAATTTCTTTATACATCTAGAGGCCCTTGCACATGTTTGAATATTGATACGTTTGGTTTGTGTGTGTGTGTGCACGCATGTGCATGCACTCATCCTAGGGCTTGAATTGGCCTGGGCACTATTCCTGAGCTTTTTTTTGGCTCAGTGCTAGCACTCTACCACTTGGAGCCATAGCTCCTCTTCCAGCTTTGTGATGGTTAATTGGAGAGAAGACTCCTTAGACTTTTCCTGCCTAGGCTGGCTTCAAAATATGATCCTCAGATCACCGCCTCCTTAGTACCTAGGATTACAGGCATGAAACATTGGCATCAGGCCATTTGTTCTTATATTGTCCCTAAATCTTTTTGCTTTTCCTCTGAGGCTGACACAACAAAATCCGTTGAGGTAGCAGGCAAGCTTTATTTCTGAAGAACATGAACAACTTAGATTTGAGTGGTCTTACTGGAGTTTTCAGAAATTGCCAAGAGATATGGGCAAGCTTGAAGCTAATAAATAGCATGATTGATTCTTTCTCATTGAAAGTGTGGAAGTATTGATCTTTAGATGTTTGGGTTGGTTTATCCACAGAGATGGCAGAATAGTTAAAAGGACAGCAGTTGATTTTTCCATCTTACTATATGCTATAAAATTGCCTTTGGATTTCACTGGCATCTGTTGTTATATTCCTTAAGCTGTTAGTGCATAGAGCAGTCAGAAATGGAAAGTAATCTGAGGCCATCATCCTGAGCTTCTGTAGAATAGAGGAAGTGAAGCTTTGTGCCTGACCTAGGAGAATCTTTGTCCCAATGGGGAAATGAATTGGCCTATTCACTTTGTTTCTGACTAGCGCCTTGTGTTTTAATTAACTTTTACAAGTGAATAATGGGCAATAGCCATAATCTAGTTAGCTGGCAAATGAATTGTATGGTGTTCTACTGCAATATAAAAATGTGCATAAGTCTTTGATACTACATGGTTTTGTGACACTTTAAAATGAACAAGCTGGCTTTCTTCTCTGCACACACTAGTAGGCTTTTTATGGCCTTACTGCAGGTTTTGTATTATCTGTTTTTTATTTGTTTTCTTTTATTGCACTTAGGAAACTTTTAAGTCAGGATGGTTCCACATTCATTTTTAGAATTTTTACCAAAGTCATCCTAGTCCTGTTTTATTCAGATGCTGCTGACTGTGAAGAACTTCCAGCTTTACCTCTGTGTTAATTGTTGTATGAATAAAAGGGCTGAGACTTAGTGGGTGAATTGTTGTGTTAGTCTATTTGTTACTATAACAAAACACAAGAGGCTAGGTAATTTTATAAAGAGGTTTATTTAACTCAGTTCTGGATGTTCACTGGTAGAGCACCACTATTAGTTTGGCTATAGTGAAAGTCTTATGGTGAATAGTAGGAATGTGTTTGAAGGGAAGAAGTCACATTGCCATGTGAGAAGCCTGGAGTGCAGCTTGAGAGTCAGTATCCCTCTTTTATGCCATCTTTTTCTTGCAAGAACCCAGAGTTCCATGAGAACTGCTTTAATCCCTTTTGAGGACAGCACTATCAGTGACCTAAAACTTCCCACTAGGGTAACCCTTTTAGCAGTTCCACACTATTTTTTAACATTGCCACACTAGGGTTAAGCTTCCAAACATGAACCCTTAGGGGACAAACCAAAACTAACCTATAGCTATTATATCCCTAACCTAAACTAATCTGTGAGTACCATTTAGAGGCAGTACTAAAATGTGGAAAATTTTGTGAATAAGCTGCATAGCATAAGAACATATTCAACCTGTATTATGATAACTAACAATTATATTTCCTTCTCTTACAGTAAGTACAAATGGAACCCAGGTGAAGAACCTTTGGAGAAACGAAGAAGGTTCCAGAATGAGATGGCATTATGGCCTCTTGATTATTCTTTGCATGGTTCTTACAAGAGAGCAGAGGCAGCTCTTGGCTACCCAGAAGGGGAAAACAGCCATGAAAAATCTAGTTCTGAAAGAAGTACACCACCATACCTTTTCCCAGAATACCCTGAAATAAGCAAGAATACAGGGCAGAACAGGGAAGCTTCAGTTGGGTATCCAGGATCCCAATACCAACACCAGGGGTCCCTGATCCCAGAAGAATTAGAAGTTCAGATGCCAAGATTGGTAGCAGAAGAATCCAACAGAGGGAGCGTGAACATAAACAAAGAAGAAGTAAAGAAGGGACCTTTTGTAGCTGTTGTTGGTGTTGCAAAAGGAGTTCAAGATTCAGGAGCTCCCATTCAGCTTGTCCCTTTTAATAGAGGGGAGTTGCCTGAGAAAAGAAAAGCAGCAGAATCCTGGAATGTAGCACCCTGTTCTGCTGCTGTCCCTGCCACAGCTGTCAGGGAGAAAGGAAGAAGCTATGAGGAGAGTGGAGGTCGCAATATGCCAAAGATGAAGAACCAGAGAGAGCTTGAAGAATTGAAGAGAACCACCGAAGAACTTGAACGTGTTTTGGCTGAAAGGAATTTGTTCCAGCAAAAGGTATGGTCAACATTTTAGTACTAGGAATAAGAGATCATTGTAACCAAGAAGCTCGGATGTTGGTGGTCTGAGAATTTAGTGCTCTGAAATTTTAAAGCAAAAGTATGCCACTGAGGTGGGCACTGGTGGCTTAACGCCTATAATCCTAGCTACTCAAAAGGCTGAGATTTGAGTATCACAATTTGAAGCCAGCCTGGGCAGGAAAGTCTGTGAGAATCTTTTTCTTTTTTTTCATATACTCATTTTTAATTGTGGAGAATGTTTTTCTCTGATTAACCACCAAAAAGCTGGAAGTGGGACTGTAGCTCAAGTGGTAGAGTGCTATCCTTGAGCATAAAAGCTCAAGGACAGTGCCAGTTCCTTGAGTTCCAGCCCCAAGACTGTCATCAAAAAATATGCCACTGAGCCATTCTGTGGTATGTCTCAGTTTGAGTGAACCTTAATGGGCTTCCTTCTCATAATTTCAGGTTGTTAGAGATTTACATTGCTAGAGGAATGTGAATAATAGAACCACAGTGTAGATAAAGACAATTTGCAGTAATATGTAGCCTGATTAGATTTCTGTTTCTTGGACCAAAGGTGGAGGCTCTGGAACAGGAAAAGAATCACTGGCATTCTGAATACAAGAAAGTTCAAAGCGAATTGGTAAACTATAATACCCAGGAAACAGAAGGCTTGTACTGGAGCAAGAAACACATGGGCTATCGCCAAGCAGAACTCCAGATTCTGAAAGCTGAGCTGGAAAGAACCAAAGAGGAAAAGCAAGAATTAAAAGAGAAACTGAAGGAGACAGAGACACACTTGGAAGAACTACAGAAGGCTCAGGTCTCCTACCGGACCCCAGAGGGAGATGACCTAGAAAGGTTAATTACTAAGGTTTAGTTATAAGTTCGTAAGTGCTCATGGGTAACTTCCCATTGGACCCCCAGTTACTGGTCATAGATAAAGGAAGAAGTCCTAATTCACAGGCCACCAAGGATTGAATAACTGCTCGGGAAGCTGCCAGTCATTCTCCCTGTGCTTGGCAGCAAGTACTTTTCTTCTTTCTTTCTAGCTAGTGCAAACATTTAACTGTTGAGAAATGTTAGGCCCATTTTGAAGGGACTTCATTTTATTCTGTTGACTAATGACTTCATGTCATCTCTTCTGCTCCTCACTCCATTATACAGGGCTTTGGCAAAGCTTACGCGGCTGCGTGTCCACGTCAGCTGTCTCCTTACTTCTGTTCTCCCTCACTTGGAGCTTCGTGAGATCGGGTATGACTCAGAGCAAGTGGATGGGATCCTGTACACGGTGCTGGAGGCAAATCACATACTGGACTGAGCACCACACTATATACACTCTCCTCTAGCCTTCTCTTTTCAGCCTGTATAATACTCTGTTCTCCCTTCCTCTTCCATTGTCTCCCATTCTTCACCCTCCTTCTCTCTCCCTCCCTTCTTTCCACTGGTGTCCTCCCTCTTACCTTTATGCCTTATATAGAGAGTCTGAGTAAATCTAGGCTCTTAATCCATCTGCTTTTCAGTCTTATTTTTGTGTGGAGAAAGAGGACAGTTAAATAGTTTCTCAGGAGTCCAGGAATAGAAAGTCAGTAGCCACCATGTTAGGTGACCAGAAAACTTTAATTTTCATGGCCTAGATACTTGGCCTATTTCATGTCCTTTCCAAAATGGTTTATATTCATTTAGGTGAAATCAGTCAGCCAATACGGCGTTCAATGTACCTGGTGTTTTGGAATAAGCTAAGAAGTATAACTCACGGTTTCAGCCTGCCAAAGTTCTGAAAGTCTAGTTGGAAACACAAGACGCATCAAGTTAACTATCCGCAGAGTTGCATGGGATGTCCAAGTGAGTTTTAGAAACATGGCAGAGAAGATCTGGAGGAGGAAGTGGAAGTTCAAGGAAAGCATCACACCAAACTTGGGACCGAAACTAAAGTTTAAAGAATAAGCATACCACGCTGTTAATGATGGATGTTTCTTAGGTGCTAGGACTATGGTTGATAATTTTCTTGTTCCTGTCTTCTTGCCTTTTTCAAATTTTCTATAACACACTTGTTATTCTTCTTATGTTGGCAAAAATAAAAGAGTTTTTAAAAGAACTAGTAAGATTGGCTTTGAATTGAGAGACTGTGTGAAATTATAAAGTAATGTTATAATTTATGTGAAACTTAGCATTTTCTCTGGAAGAATAACATAAGTAAAGGTGCAGATTAATCCAGAATCTGATAAATGTGTTTTGTAAAGGAAGAGTGGGTTAATGTAAACAGAACTAAGGTTAATTCATGACCTACTTACCAACCCACTATAGGATCTGCATTTCAATGAGGAGGTATTGAAAACCAGTATTTAAGACTCAAAAATTTAAGAGACACGCAACTACATTGTGGAATTTCAGATAGTGGTAGAAGTATTTTAGTGTAGGGTGATCTATCTGCTGACCCTTGGAATATACTTGCTTTTCAGGCTGTCCTGAGGGTCCAAAATAGTAAAACTTAAACATCTCATGATTTTATTATGTTTATATAGCACCTGTTCTCCAAAGAGTTATGGCATTCCTCCAGGGATATTGCATAGTACACACACACACACACACACACACACACACACACCCCTATCAATGGAAGCATAGTACACACACACACACACACACACACACACACACCTATCAATGGAAGTGACAGTGTCCAAATAAATGAAAGGAGGGTGGGCCAACCAGTGCTAGTCTGCAGAAAACACTTTGCCTAGTCATTCTGGTTTCCTCTGACAATTTACTTCACAAGACTTTTTTCCAAACAGATTTTACCTCCTTTCAAAGGAAGCCTAGCATGGGTGTTCCAGAGAGATTGCAGAGAATGAGATGCTACCAGCAGCCTTCCTACTCTAGCTGCCTAAGCATCATTGCCTCATGTTGGCCATATAGAGCAGGCTATTCTGTTGTCTACATGGAACTGTTACTGAAGAAGGGGGACTATGGTGATGCTTGTTCACCAGAGGAAAGCTAGGAGGGAGGGGGACTTTGCATACGTTTGAATTCTGTGAATGGGAGTCTGGTGAAGGAAAAACTTAAGAGCATTGAATTTCATCCTGTGTGAGTGAGTGTTCAGTGAATGAAAAGTCAGGCAATTGGACTTTACAAGGAAAAGGATGGAAAATTTTATCTCACCTTAACTAGTTTTGCTGTCCTGATGGCCCATGATTTTGACCCCACACTGCTTTTTCCAGCAACTCTGATCTATGTGAGTCTCAATACCAGACCTGCCACTTTGTTACCTATTTACTATGAAACCATTCTACCATGAGGTTCTTTTTAACAAGTGTTAAATACCACTGTGGAGAGACTTAAAGTGTTTCCTAGCCTTACCAGATAACCTAGTGTGGAGGCAAGACATATAGAAGAAAACTTAGGTATCTCCTCTAGATTTTCCATTTAAATTAATGATATAATTCTTATAAATATTAACATTTAAATCTTTTTGTCTCATGCCTTATCGTTAATTTTTTTTTAATTTTTGCAGTACTAGGGCTTAAACTCAAAGATATGTGCTAGCTAGGCAAATGTTCTATCACTTGCCATGACCCTAAATCCTTTTTGCTTTAGTTATTTTTAGGTAGTTTTGTACTTTTTGCCCAGAATGGCCTCAGACCACAATCCTCCTACCTATATTTCTTGCATTTCTGGGATTATAGGCATGAACCTACAATGCCTGACTTATTTAATTTAGATTGGGGGGGTCTTGCTGTTTTGGCCTAGGGTTGCCTTAATCATAGTCCTGCCAATCTCTACTTCACAAGTAGTTGGGATTACAGGTGTGCATCCTGACACCTGTCTTGGGAATAGGTTCTTCCCCCCCCCCCCGCCCCTGCACAGTGGCTTGAACTCAGGGCTTAGGCACTGTTCTGAGCTTTTGTGCTCAAGGGTAGTGCTCTGCCACTTGAGCCACAATGCCACTTCCAGTTTTGTGGTGGATAATTGGAGATAGTTTCACAGACTTTCAGGCTGGCTTTAAACCACAATCCTCAAATCTCAGCCTCCTAAATCACTAAGATTATAGGCATGAGCCACCAGTGCCCAACCTGGAATAGATTCTTAACTGGCCTTTGCCTCCTATTTCTTCTCCTGAATCTACCCTACTCACTATCACTAAATGACCTAACAGCTTTTAACAGGCCTGATCTAAACTCAAAGACTTGATAATAAGATGCCACTGGGTGCTCATCCCCACAATCTCAGATATGCAGGAGGTTGAAATTGAAGGATCATGGTTCAAGGCCAGCTTTGACAGAAAAGTTTGCTAGACTCCATCTCCAAAACAACTAGCTGAAAGGAAAGGCTGGAGGCATGGCTCAGAAAGCTATAGAGTACCAGCTAAATAAGCAAGAGGCCCAGAGATACTCCAGTCCTGCCCGCCCCCAAACAAACCTTTGTAATGCTCATAGTTGTCCACTAAATGAAATATGGAGTACAAGTTCCTTAGCATGGTGCTCAAAACAGCTTGTAATATGGTTTCAACCACTCTGCAGACTCTTTTCCAACATTTCCAATACTATTTTAGACAAATAGAACTCTGTGTGCTTTTATTTTTTTCTGTACCTTTGCCATCCCATCCCTATAGCCTCATCATGTTAACATTGATTGAAATTTTCTCTCTACAAATTCCTTTAGCTCCCCCAGTTATGCATGATAGTTTTCTTTGAACAATTGAGTTTTATGTCCTCTAGAAGACTTATTAAAACTACACCTGTCTTCCCTATTAGAAAGCTCTAGATACAGTTATTTAACTCTCTACTTGACATCAATACATCTCACACAGGCCTTACAAATAAATTGTCTTAAAAATAAACAGTAAAATATACCAGGATTGTTAGTCCTCCATGGTTTTCCTTGTCTTCAGAAATGGCACCTCTTCCTCCTCAATTGTTCAAGCTAGAAACATGGAAATCATTCTTAATGGTTCTTTTCAGTTATCCCCCACATCATTCTGCCAATAGGCTGTCAGTCCTTTTTCCAAAGTCTATTTTTTTTTTGCTAGTCCTGGGACTTGAGCTCAGAAGCTGGGTGCTGTCCCTCAGCTCTTCAGCTCAAGAGAAGCGCTCTACCACTTAAGCCACAGCACCACTTCTGGCTTTTTTCTGCTGAAGTGGTCCAGAGAATCAAACCCAGGAATGCCTCGTGCATGCGAGGCAAGCACTCTACCACTGAGCCACCTTCCCAGCCCCCTCCACAGTATCTTGACTACTCACTTCTTCCATCATCTCCCACAGACTATAATAACTCCTCACTGGAGACCTTACGTCTGCTTTCGTGTCCGTGATTGTCTTATCACTAGTAATGGAATTCCTTAAAAATACATGCCAATTTTGACTTGCAAGCTTAAAGCCAATAAGTGAGTTCTCCTTGCACATAGAGTAAACTCAGCCCCTTCTGTCCAGAAACCCGGCCTATTTCCTGTATAGCAACCTTTCATTACCACTTAGCTTTTGGCTCACCTGGATTCCTACTGAAACATGTCAGCCTTTCACTTATCTTGGAGCCTTACTGTGTCTTCCAGAATATTTTTTTTACCCACACTGCTTATTCTTGTATGCTGGGTCTCCAGTCTTAGTGTGACTAGCTAGTCCTCATCAATCCTCATATAGAGCCTCCTTTTTTTCCTCAGCCCTATTAACCTCTCACTCTTCTGTTCCTTTCCAATTCATGACACTTCTCACTATTACATACCATGTTGCTTGCTTTCACTGTCTGAAATATTTATTGGGTACCTACTCTGTGCAGTGTGATACACAGTGGGGCCCACAACTCATGTAGTCCCTTGTTTGCCTCCCTGAGTAATAAGCTCCATGAGGGAAAGGTCCATGCCTCTTTTCCAACCCCAACTTCCGCATCCTGCTGCTGCTGCTTGAAGTCCCTGAGATAGAGTTAAGTACTCAACAAAAAGGATTGTTAATGATTGAATTGGTGATGGGAATTATGTTTTATTTCTCCATCTCAGTAATGTGTTAAAAGAGTTGGGTAAATATAGTACAAGGGAGGTATCTCATCCTGGGCATTAAACTCTGAAAATGAAATACTGAGACAGTGCTGCAGGTTAGGGGGGTGGTCACTGTCAGTGAGTGGCCTAGGTTTCTCTTTTGCTAATTTTTCACATAAATAATTAGGCTGTTAAAGGACAAAAAGGAGCCAGGTCCAGGTGTCTCATGGCTGTAATCCTAGCTACTCAGGAGGCTGAGATCTGAGGATCGCAGTTCAAAGTCAGCCCAGGCAGGAAAGTCCATGAGACTTTTCTCCAATTAACCACCAGAAAACCAGAAGTGGCACTGTGGCTCAAGTGGTAGAGCGCTTGACTTGAGCTGAAGAGCTGAGGGACAGTACCCAGGCCCAGAGTTCAAGCCCCACAACCGACAAAAATTTTAAAAAGGACAAAAAGGAATAAAAGTTGTTTACATAGACATTCCAAATAGTATAAAAAAGAGGCCTCCCTAGCATACAAAGTTTAAATGCTAAGTACTACAAAATATAGCCTGGAGAAGTTTGTAGAGACCAAGATCTTGAGAATAAGAACTAAAGCTAGACAAAAAGATACTTTTCCATGAGTGATGATGCTTTGTTTCAATTGAAGAAAGAAGAGAGATCTTCAAGGGATGGACAGAACAAAGCTCAAAGAAACAAGTTCCTGGCACAAATATGGAGGTCAGTACATCTGTCAGAAAAACAAGTAGCACCTGAAGAGGACTAGACCAGAGTACTTGTGGCACCAGGGGGCAGGTAGGTTTGCTTTCCCATGGTCAGTAATTGCAAATTATCTGCTCTGTTTAAAGTCAGAGGCCTGATTTTTGGGTTTTTAGTTCTTAAATGCAGTCTCCAGATAGAACTGTGTTTCAGAATTCCGTGCTGTAAATGAAACCTTTCTGTAGTTCTGCATTAGGAGTGACACATAGGAGTTTGTTCTAGATTGCTGAGTGTAAGCTCAGGCTAAGCCAAGTGTTATTTCTTACCCAAAGCTGACATACTTTTTCACAATGACTGACCTAACATTATATCAGGAATCATACTTTGTGAATCAAAAGTCAAGACCCATGTTTGGATGGGTCTGAA